CTATCTGAAAAACAAATCTGAGCTGTTTTCAAAAAATATTCAATGATTTAAAAGCGATTGGTTTTTTCACGTTTTTTTCTAAAAATTTTGCGTATTGGAACATACCAAATATGTAATATTATATATTTTTGTCTCTAAAACTCTTTAGGATATTAATATGCAAAGAGTTTAAGACAATTGATATAAATAATAATTTATATCTTCTTATTAAGTTKTTTAGTATGTGATTGATAATGTACAATACCTCTTCATTGGCCGCATCGTTTTGTTGGTCATGCTCAAATAATTGCTTGCTCAAATTGTCCCGATCTTTTTCATTTACAGTGGATCGCTTAAATCTACTGCGATAATGCCTCAATCTAGGACCACGCCATGATGTATCATCGTCAGCCATTGCATTTTCAATGATTTGATAAAGTCTATTTGTGTCATTCATTGGCTCGTTTAGATCATTTTGTAGAACTTCTTTTAATTTACGTAAAAGTGTCGCGCCGTCTTTTCCTTGATTTCCCAATTTTCTTAATGATTCTTCGATCAATTCTTTTGATTGAGGTATATTATTGATTTCGTTAACGTTTGTGAATATGGGCTTAGATTTTGCAGAGTGAACTACATAATCCTCGTTTTCAATTTTTTCTTTCATTTCTTTTTGGTATAAATCTTCAGCATAATCTAAATGATGATTGGCAGTTTTACTGGATCTCTTAAAATATGTGCGGTTTATATTATTATCATTTGGATGATTTGTAAGGTAGACAACGTCAGGCGCCATATCGGGCACAGTCATACCAGAAGTAAGTTTCCTCATAAAATTTGGAATATGCGTATCATTGCCTTCTTCGGAAGATTCAATTTCATCAATCTCTTCGCTAGAATTATCTCCTATATAAGCACATTCTTTTAGATGTTTATGTCCTTTAATAACTATTATACTAGCCCCAGGCCACCTATAAAATTATAATAATGATATGTTATGTTTATGTATATGTGTAGGTAATCGTGGATGTTTTTAGTCAAATAATTTTTTTTTAAAGATTTCAAAATTGTTATAATAAATAAAATTGTATAACCATAATTATCATTATTAGATTAGATTAAAATAATAAATTGTGAAATATATTTCACCTTGAGCATGTAGATACTTTTACGATTGAATCTTTAAGTAGATAAAATCCCCAATATTCTTTAATGTCGTCTTCTAACGTAATATGCCTTTCCATTTCAACAAATTCCATTTTTGGTAACATAGATGGTTTTTCTGGCATCAAATATGCATTAAAAGTGGCATTAGTATTCACTATATGACTCTGAAAATAATATTATAATAGTTAAAAAAAAAATTATTTTTCACAAATTAAATTCAATACTTACTTGGCACCAAAATGTTGACATTTTTTGGTCTAATATTCTCATATCAGTAATAGCTAAAGGATATTTATGATCAGAATAGACATGATAACGAATGTACAATGGCGCAATGACCAAAATACCAGGCACAAGTAAACTTAAAATACATAGCCTGGCCGCTTTTAATGGTCCTTTAAGGCTACTAGAGTTGTCCTTTTTATAATAAACACCACCTAAAAAAAAATTTATTTATAATTATATTTCATTTAAATCGCATAAAATTATCATATCAATTAAAGACATGGGAAAATTAATTTAAAATAAGGTTATTTATATTCTTAAAGACAGTTAAATATATTTGCTTTACTCGATGACCTAAAGTATATTATCCAAACTATTATATAAATATCTCTTATATATTTTATGATCCACGCGTTTGGGTTATCCAATGAAGTAGCAGAAAAATAATAAAAAATAATTGTCATCAAGGTCGTTATTAATATAATTCTTTTTAACCTTTGGAAGGACGCAACAATAAATTCAGTAGACTATACACAATTGTTGTTAATCCTTATGCGTGATTGTTAAACTAAATTTAAAACTATTTATATAGTTCTAATTTTACAATCAATTAATTTTGATAATTTTTGTTTTTGATATTTCAATAAACAAAATAAATGAGAAAATTAAAATGTTGTAATAAAAATCATAAATAAATATTAGTCATGACACACTTAAGTTAATTAATTAGACGTATACAATTCTGTATAATATATATAATATTTTAGATGAGATAATAAATATAATGTTAGGTCTACACTAATTTATTCAACTGATGTTATATTATTGGTTGGTAGTATATATATATATATATATGTATACGATATACCTATACGTCCTATACGTCATAAACTTGCAACTAATAAAATCAGTTCGTACTTCTTTATTTATTTTGACTAGGTAATACCTATCATTTATAAAATAGGATTAAACAATAATTATTAATTGTATAATAAAATATAATTTACATCTTACACCGCTAAACATGCGGCACTACTGCACTATAGTTAAATATAAACGTACAAATAAAAAGGTCGACGAACTTAAAATAAATATTAAACGTTTAATATATATGTATACAGGGTGTAACAGATAGAACTGACTTTTAGAATAACTTTTGTTCTAATTAATATTTT